ATCACATGACAGGTAATCCAAAACTCTTTTCAACCTTTCATAGATATCTTTCTTCTGTCGCCTTAGCAGATTGATCTACCTTTAATATTTTTGGTTTGGCAACATCAATGTTACGCCAACATTACCTTTAGCTTATGTCATTAGTTTACATCAATTATCTTTTAATCTTATCTTTGTTAACAAAATTACACATCTCTTAATTATTTTATCTTATTCTTCCCTAACCATTGTCTTTTTCAAGATCTTATGAGGGAGAACATTATTAGTGATTTAGGATAAAAAACTTCCTCAACACATAACATGTTCCAGCACCTTATCTCCTTTTGAAGTCCATTATAGATTTAGGAATCCATCACGAGCAAGATTAAAAACAACTATATCCTCAATTTCAACAATTATTAACTATAGTTTTTGAGTCGTGTTAATTTGCTAAATACCATCATTTGTCTTCTATTCCCAAAATTAATAAAAGAGCTAGTCATAATTTTAAGTTTGTTCAATCTGATCTACGAGGACCTTGTCCAATTTTATCTAATAGATTTCAAATTTGTCACTTTTTTGTGGATAATTTTTCTCGTATGACTTAGATTTTTTTTTATTAAACCTTATACTAAGTCACTGTTAAATTTTTAGTTTTGTTGTGCCAAAATTAAAACTCAATACAATATTTTGGTTAACATTATGAGAATTAATAATACTAAAGAACATTTTCTATACTTTTTCAAACATGACACAGAACCGGATACTTCAACAGTCATCCTACGCCGATAGTCCATCCCAGAATGGAGCAGCTGAATTAACGAAAAACATTTTCTTAAGATATTTAGAGCGCTAATGTTTCAAACGAATGTTTACAAACGATTATGGGTTGATGCAGTTGCTACTAAATGTTTTTTTATCAATCAGATGTCTTTCTATTTTACGAAACAATGTATCCTACTAAGTTTTATTTCTAACTAATGCTCTCTTTCCCAGTAAGCCGTGTAAATTGGGGTGTAATTGTTTTGTTTGTGATACTCGTCCACATGTTTCTAAATTAAAGCCTAAGTCATTAAAATGTATCATTCTAGAATACTCTCATTTGCAAGAAGGATCGTTGTTTTTCCTTTCTTATACAGTTGCGCGGCTTTTGCTGATGTTAAATTTCATGAACAAACCTCATGCTTTGGTGACTCATCGTTACCTAAATTCTCACAACCTTCTGATGAGTTGTTAATATATCACATCATCAATTAAGATCTTGCTCCAGTTTCACCTCCACCATCAGCGCCTCAAACTAAAGCACCTATCACTAAAGTTTACTCTAGAAGTTCTCGTTACCTAATCCTAGTCCAACACCGATATCATCTTCTTCAGTGGATCTTCCTCCTAGTGATCTTGATTCACCTATTGCTCTTTGAAGAGGTAAACATCAATGTGTCTATCTCATCTCCTCTTGTGTTAATTATACTAATTATCTTTCTTCCACTTCATGCTCATTTTTTGCTTCTCTTGACTATTTGAGGTCTCAAAATCAATCTGTTAAGCCCCATCCCATTCTGTGTGGCGGCCAACAATGCCTCAAAATCTGTTAAGCAAGCCCCATCCCATTCTGTGTGGCGGCCAACAATGCTCGATGAAATGAATGTCTTAACTGAAAATGGAACTTGGGAATTAGTTGAACTATCTTCAGGAAAAAAAGGCTATAGGTAGTAAATGGGTCTTTGTAGTTAAGTTTCATTAAAACATATATGTAGCTTATCTCAAATATCGGATAGTTGCTAAGGGCTATGCTCAAACTTATTGGATTGACTAGATGGACACGTTATCTCTGGTAGCTAAATTTACTTTGATTTTCCTCTTTTTATCTTTGGCTGCAATGAATAATTGGCCCCTGCACTAGTTGTGAAAATTTCTTTTTGCATGGTGATCTTTTAGAAGAGGCATACATGGAGCAACCTCATGAGTTTGTTGCTCAGAGGGAGTCTGGGAAAGTATGTCGTATTCAGAAGTTGAACCAAAGTCCCTGTCCTTGACATGGAAGATTTAGCTAAGCAGTAGAAAAGTTTGGGATGCTAAAAAGTAAAAGTGATCGCACTATATTCTACAAGCAATTTGCTTCTGGGAACTTTCTACTTGTGGTTTATGTTGATGCTATTATTATAATTGGAAGTAATATACACAGAATCTTATCCTTGAAATCATTTTTTCAAAATCAATTTAACACTAAAGAACTAGGTTCCTTCCTTAAAAGTATTTCTTGGGGATTAAGAATCAACAAGCAAGAGGGGTATATTTCCATCTCACTAGAAGTATGTTTTGGATTTACTAGCATAAAATAAGAAATTATGGGTCAAACCATGCAGTACTTTGATTCTTCCTAATCAGCAACTTACCAAGGATAAAGAGTCTTTTCATGAACCTAAATGGTATAGAAAGTTAATGGAAAAATTAAACTATCTCACAGTGACTCGCCCTGTCATTGCTTATTCAGTTAGCAATTAACACTATATGTCAGTTCATGCCCTCCCTCACAATCCATCATTGGTCAACTTTGGAATATATACTATGTTACCTCAAATGAGCCTCTGGAGAATGTGTTTTATATCATAATCAGGGGCATATAAATACTGAAAGTTTCTCTCCTGCAGATTGGGTAAGTTCAAGGATTGATTAGAGATTAATTACGTAATACTGTGTTTTTGTTGGTAGTAATTTTGTCTCATGGAAGAGTAAAAAATAAAATATAGTGTCACGATCCAGTATAGAATATGAGCATCAAGCAGTGACAAAAGCTTCAAGTGATTTGATATAGGTCACAATTCTTGACCGAAATGGGTTTTAAGATGATAGTTTCAACAAAGTTGTGATGTGATAACCAAGATGCAATTTGTATTACTTCAAATCCTATTTTTCATGAACAAACTAAGCACATTGAGATAGATTGTCATTTTGTTTGTGTTAAGATTCAACAAAATTTGATTTATACAACCCATGTAAAGACTATGGGACATCTTCATGAAGGAACTTAATGGGGCTAGGGAGGGGCATGTATATTTGTAACAAACTAAGCATGATAAAGATTTATGCTTCAACTTGAGGGGAAGTGTTATGGAAAGTAATAAATCTACCGGTTGTATATTAGAAAGCTTTTATGCTAGGAAACTTGATTATAGGAAATATATTAAATGTATTTTCTATATTAGATAATCTAATTAGAGAAGATCCAATTACAAGATCTTTCTACTATTAGAGATATTCATAATCTGTAGAGATTTGAGTGTATAAAAAATGTAACATACGTTTTCAATGGAGGAATAAGAAAGAAAGGGCTGTTTTACTTCACAAAACAATAATTAACGCAAATTTCACAAACCTATCAATGGCTTCAAAGCGTTTTGTGCATTTATATCCTGGTTGGAGACTTCAGGCTCAAACTGCTCAACATAAAGGCGAATCGTTGCACCTGCCGATCCAGTCCCCTAACAAGTTACAATAAGCGCAATTAGTTTTCTAATTAAAAGCAAAAATGAATGTAATCGAAAGTACTCATGCAGTTCACATAATAAAAAAATATCTAGAAGTTTGTTCGACAAAGAATCTAAACGATAAAATAATGTTAATGAAAGAACTTTCCCTTCTAAAAAAGATGAGTGCTAATATTGCATACCGATAAGCGAAATATTATTCTTGAGCCATCTGTGAAGACAAACCTTATTCCTTGCTTTGACGCTACACTGCCATCTACCTGTAAAGCATCATTTTTATGCACTATGATAAGAAAATTCACATAATCATATTGAAGTCATTGTACAAACTCTCAGCAGATAAATACATGGTATTAAATCTTACAGGGTCTGTATAGCTAAAGTCATCAGCAAAGTCAAGTTCATAATTTCCTGAGAATACAAGTAGTGAATGCTAAAGATAGAAACAAACTCGTGAATTCATATAGTTGAACATGACAACGACTTATTACCGATACAAACCATATTTATCTCCAGGCTTTGTACTGGAGATAAGGTCCCTAAGATGTTCAATCATTTGATTAGCACCATTTGATTCACATTCCTGCAACAAAAATGAAAAAGAAAAAAAAATAAAAATTGGAGGCTCTAGACGCAGATTATTATTAAGCGAAAACAAAATAAGGCCACAAAAATAAGAAAAGCGCCAAAATTGAACTAAAGCAGATCAAAATGAGATTTCAACACGCTAACAACAAAAGTAATTATTATCTGTCAGACTAAATAAGTACCTCGTAATCATATCTGGAAAAGAAATTCCTGCCATAGGTTGCCCAATGCTCCCTAGCAACATCTGCTACTGAAACTAACTTCTCGCCCACCCTCTTGCCTTTATTTCTGTATGCAATGATAGAAAGCCAAGCCAATACAGCCCTATAACAAAAAAATTGAAGCAAAATAAGCTCATATAAGTTATATGAATGTTAAACTACCCTTGATATCAAGTTATATGCACAACTTAGATAAAGTGATTACAATTTTTTTTTTTTCTTTCAACAAAGGCACTACTCCAGAAAGTTATGTGCCAATTTGAGAATTGGGTTTAATCCTATATCGGATAGTTGCAAAACATATTGGTGCTAAAACAACAAGTGGTTACCCCGCACCAATAGACAAGCTTTTGGGTTGAAAATGAGATTGAACATTCATGTATATATTTCAAACTTGATCCCATTTTGTTTCACATTCCCTAATCATAGTTATCAAAACATAATGAGGGATATGATGGCCATAAGATATAAGTTCTAGAAGTTCAATTGGTCGATGATTTTTCAGCTTTGAAGAATCAAAACGTGTTGTGTTTAAGTTCAATAGCGACTTATAAAGGCATTTAGGAGCCATTCAAAATATGCACAAGACTAAAAAAGAAGATAAAGTAGAAAAGGATAAAAAAAATTTCTAGTTATCCAGTTGCATTTGACAAATGAAGTCATGCTAGAGACCTTCGAGGAAACAACCACATAAAGATTGTCGCTCAAATTAGAGTCTTCATACACGAGAAATCATCTAAAAAAAATTAATTAAAAGCAAAGATTCTAATTGCGTCACATACAAGTAAATGCATCAATTAAATCACATTTAAATGATATTAGTTTTGTTTTCAGGGACTTGAGAAATTTTGACATGGTTATTGACAAAGAGGAGCAATCCTTTATAATGGTTGTATTTACCTCCCTCTAATAAGCATTTCCATGACACCGTGTCACATGGAGGAGATACAATTAACTTAGAGATGTTAATAATTCATTTCTTTTAAAAGATTGGATATGAAAATCTGGCGTGGGATTACTTTTAGGGAAAACCTTTTGATAAGTGGTAGCAAAAGTAAGATTTTTAGCAAGTACATGAATGAAGCTTGCATCTATTGCAAAAAGGAAAGATGCATTAAAAAATATCAACATGCAGAGCAAAGATCAATAGGTCAATAAAAATAACTAAGAAGACTAGCCAACAAATGCAAATGTAATTGCAAACTGATCTAGTGAAAATATCGACGATGCCCTTTTCATTAATCTCGAAGACTATTCAAGATGATCAAATGAATCAATATTATACTTCATAATATATACTGAAGTTAGGACATAACATTGCATAATAAATGTTCAATCATTGAGGTTGGACACTAAGCAGCTTCTTGTATTTCTAAATATTTATGAGATGGTACGAGCAAATATAATTGTCTTTTATCATAATCATGCGTGTTCATAGAAACCCTGGACTGGTTCGTTAGGACCAGAGTTGTTAGGGGCCCGACCAGCCCTCCTTCGAGCAAATATAATTGTCTTTTATCATAATCATGTGTGTTCATAGAAACCCTGGACTGGTTCGTTGGGACCAGAGTTGTTAGGGGCCCGACCAGCCCTCCTTACCTTAGGGATTGCCGCCCATGAGAGTGGGTCTGCTGCTAGTTATCATAAAATTATATATTTTCTTTTGTGATGTTTTCGGGTTACTTTCTGTTTTCTTTGTTTCGGGACAGCCATCAGGGTCTCCATTTTCCCTTCGAAGGCAATATCCAAGGGTTCTGAGTGGAGCTTCGGCTGTATCTCATTCCCGATATGGTGTTTCTCCTTTTGATACCAGTGTCCCATCCATTTCCCGCACCAGCTTCCTTCCCACTTGCCGCTTAAAGAATGAAGTATTTGTATATTCAGAACACGGGCTTAAAAACGGTATTACAATTCTTTACAAATAAACCACTAGACTTCTTCAATGTTTTCTTTTTACCAAAAAGAACTCTAAATAAGGTCTAAATCTCAAAACCATCCTCAAGATGGGCAAAAAATATCAACTAAGCCCATCTTGTCACATAACCTACACAAATCTAATGAACCAAATCCTTTAGTGAGATAGTCAACCAATTGTTCTCCAGTGGCTACAAGACTTAGCTCCAATAGCCCATTATTTAGCTTTTCGTTGATGAAAAATCTAGCAATCTTCACATGTTTGGTTCTATCGTGTTGCATTGGGTAGCTGCCAATGTAGATTGTTGACTTGTTGTCGCACCACAACTTCAGTTGAGTTCCTTAGTCCACCTTATGCTCGACCAACAAGGCTCTCAGCCACATCATCTCGACAACACCTAAGATCATGGTCTTGTACTCTGCCTCTGATATTGACCTCGTTACTACAGACTGTTTACTACTCTTCCAAGAGACCAAGTTACCCCTTACGAACACGTAGTATCCTGAGGTGAATCTTATGTCAAATGTAAAACTAGCCAAATCAACGTACAAAAGCCCTCAATGTCTAAATGCATATTCTTCCTAAAGATCAACCCATTCCCAGGTGCACACTTCAGGTACCTCAAGATCTGATACACTGCATCTATATGAACCTTGAATCATGCATGAAGCGGCTCACCACGCTCACTGCAAAAAAGATGTCGGATCGAGTGTCAAACATAGATCAGACAACCCACTAATCTCTGATACCACTCACGATTAACTGGTTATCTTGCCTCTGCACTCAGCTCGGTCTTCTAGTTAATTGAAGAGACTGTAGGTTTGCATCCCAGTATGTCAGTTTCTGTGAGGAGATCTAGTATGTACTTTCTCTGGGACAATATCATCCCCTCATGTCTACAGGTCACTCCAATCCTAAGAAAGTTTCGAGTTGTCCAAGATCCTTCACCTCAAATTCATTGTCCAATCTTACCTTTAGATAGAATATCTTTGTCTCATCATCACCGCGACAATGATGTCATCAAAATAACAAGTATAGTGGTGCGAACTTCATGTTGTCGAAAGACTACTGCATGACCTGCATGATATACTGATAACTTATACCCACCATAACCTTTCTAAACTTGTCAAACCATGCTCGAGGATCTTATTTCAATTCATACAGTGACTTATTGAGCCTACACACCTTGTCCAATGACTGCACTATACTGAATCTTGGTGATATCTCCACATATACCTTCTCGAGTAATTCATCTTGAAATAATGCATTATTGACATCAAATTGGTATAAACTCCACCCACCATTCACAACAAGAGAAACCAATATCCTCATTGCACTCTTTGGTACTTGCGCAAAGGTTTCATCATAGTCAATGTCATATGTCTGCTGTAACTTTTCGTCACCAGTCATGTTTTGTACCGCTCCACCTTCCCTTTTGAAGTTTGCTTCACTGTGAAGATCCACTTGCACTCAACTATTTTTTTTTCCTGCAAGTAGTGGCACTATCTCTCATGTTCGATTTTTATTGAGAGTCCTAAGCTCTTCATGCACAGACGCTTTCCACTTGGGATCCTTAGCAATCTACCAATAATAGGGTATAAAGATATGTCCAAAGATGCAATGAATGCTTCATGTAAATGTGATATGTAAGAATATGGAATAAAATTAGTAACAATATTCTACCAAAAACAATTGGGAGTATGTCTCGCATTGCTACGAGAGATCCTCCTTAAAGTTGGGGGGATAGGATAAGATGGAGGAGGAAATATATCACCTAGGAGTTCTAAGTCCAAGGTGGATGGTGCAGGTGTTTCAAGAGTCAAAGAAGACCGGGACAAGAGACTAGTTGGCACTACAGGCATAGTTCCCTCATTTTACTTCATTCTTCATGTATACACTCTTAGCTCACCTTCAACTTAAATCCCACCACCTATGGCTTCATTCTCCTCATTTACTGTATCCTTAAATGATTCATCCCATATCACAGGACAATACATTACTTCCACATATACCACTCACACCAATTTTACTCGCTCCCCCTTTCCTTATATCTTCAGTATCAGGCGAGTCGCCAAATGCTGAGGTCACCTCCTAGTTGTAGCATAGTTCAAATTCTTTAAATAATACACATATACTCACGAACATTCTCTTCTGTATCGGACTCCAGCAGACATACCACTTATAGGTAAAATAATAACTTACGAACACACATTTCACAGCTCTGGGACACAGCTTCCCTACCAATGACCTCTTATCCTTCACAAAACATACACATACAAATATCTTCAATGGGAGGATCTCATATTATCTTCTTTCAAAATCTGACAATGAGACTTCTAATCCAACACCCTAGAGGGTATCACGTTTATCAATTGAGCAGCTATCAAAATTGCTCGCCCCCATAATTACTTTGAGACATTTATTGCGATCATCATGTTTCTGACTACCTCTACAAGATGTCTATTCTTCCTCTCTCTGCTACTCCACTTTGTGTCAGTGTATATGGACATGTAATTTGATGTTGTATCAATTGGGTTGACAAGTATTCCCCAAATACTTTGTTAGTATACTCTTGTCTGATTATCAAACATGAATATCTTCGCCACGGCACGATATTGAGTTTATATTGTCTTGTGAAAGTCTTTAAAGCAAACAAACATATTACTTTTATTTTTCATTAAATATAACTAACTCACGCGAGAAAAGCAACTAATAAAGGTCACAAAATATCGATAATCATTAATAGAACTTGTAGAACAAGTTCTCCAAACATCATAATTTATCAAGTAAAAAACACCAGAACTCCTATTTTCATAACTGACATAAGAGCTTCTAGTAAGTTTGTCAAACTCACAAGCATCACAAACAAGTTTTTGTTTATTTGTCTTTTCATACAACGAAGAATACAACTGACTCAATAAACTAAAGCAAGAGAGTCTCATGCATTTGTGATGTAGAAGCAATACATCCTCCAAATTTCTAAATTCTCTTACTCCAGCACTCTCTACCATGGATGTCAAAATTGAGTCCATCCCCTTCCGATCCAAATACTAAAGTCCACTATGTCATAATCCAACCCCAAGTGTTTGACCTACCTCTTTTCCTATCTTAAAAATATAAAAAAACAACACATTTTAGTTTAATAATTACAATGTTTCACAAATAAACCCTTAGACTTCTTCAGTATT